GAAGGAAAAAAGCAAGGAATAATAAAAAGAGAAATGAAAAAAAATGGAAAGAAGAGGAGGAAAAGATAAAGGATGACAGGAACTAAAAAAAAGGGAAAAAGGAGGAAGGAAGAATGGAAGAGATAGAATGAGAAAGAAAGGAAAGTAGAGAAAGAACAAGCTGTTTAGCTGTGACATTTAAATGAAGTTTAATAACGATACCCTTTTGCTGATGATACTTAACCATCCACCCATCCATTCTCTTCCTTATAGCTTTTAATTCTGGAATGTTGGCTGAACAGCATTGAGAATGGGACACTGTGAAACATTTAATGTCTTGCGTGAAATATTGTTTGACATTGCTATTGCTATTGACATTGTTGACCTGAAATTAGTCTATAATTAACCTAAAACATATTATTTTGAGACTAATGGAAAAATTTCCACAAAAACTAAACTAATTTCTCATAGCGACCTTTTGGATTATTTGTATTTGTGCATTTCGATTCTAAATATTTATCATTTGCAGGGTTTAATCTTTCATTTGCTACAACACATCAAGTAATGTTATCATATTATTTTCTGAAATACATTTTTTACAATTTTCTATTCAGACAGAATTGACGAAAAAAGAAAAGGTAAGATCTTTCTCGTTTACAATAATTCATTGGTAAGAGATATTTCAATAATTCATCCATAAGTTGTATTTTAGATAACAATTAAGAATTAAAAACAAAAAAAAAAAAGAAATTAATTGAAAGTTTATTTATGTATATGGATGTGTGCATGTATGTAAAAGAGGGAGAGAGAGAGTGATTAATAAGAGGAAATTATTAGGAGATGTATTGATATAAATATTAGAAATTAATGGGATTTTAAGGGAAAGGCGAAAGATAAATTTTAGATTAGTTAACAGGAAAGAAAAATTGTTGGCGAATTTTATTTGAAATAGATACTAAAAATAGTATTTGAGAGGGGAGAAATTAGTATTTGTTCATTACCCTTATTTTGATAATTTATCAGAAGTGAACATTTTTTTAATATACATATTTTTTTAAGTAAGTAATCTTCGATCGTTCTTACATTTCAGAGTCCTATATGATTGATGAGAATGAATGATGAATGACTAATCATTCATCCGGTTTAGTCAATCGATCAGAGTAATTCCAGTGATTCAATCATTTAATCATTATGGATGCTATTACAAGTCGTACAGTACCCATGCGTTTGTTTGCTAATTGGGAAACAGATCGAACAATTGCTTGTGCCGTACAACGGTTGGTGTTTTTTTTCCCCTCTCCTTATTACTAATTAAACAATTAAATTAATTTAAACTTAACTTACCTCTCTTCTTTGCTAGGAAGGAATATTGCTTATGTTGTGTTGATAGTTATATCGACACATATATTTGCTGTATTTTACCAGTGTTTCAGAATGTTTTCAATGGCTTTAACTCGTTTAGTATTTAATGCATTTCTTGGAAATCAGTCCACGGTAGTCATCACTGTTAAATTACAGGTTTGTAAATTTTAACTGCAAAATTTTTTCTCTTATTCTTTTTCGCTTTTTCTTGCCGGTTTTATGCTGTATGTTTATCATCAGCGGCGCAGACATTTGTTTAATAAAGAAAAATGTGACTAATGGTTGAAATTTTATTACTTGTTACGTTTGTCTTTGAATATAATCTAACCAAATGAAAGTACTTTGTAATCAGAATAATGAATAGAGAGAATTAAGCTATAAAAGCAATAACTATTCGAAATGTTGGAATGTGCAATTGATGGTTTACATTTATGAAGTAAATATTCATTATGAGTTATTTGATGAAAAAGAATATGGTTAAAAGTTGTAAGGATAAAGGTTGCAAATATTATTTTCAGGGATCGAAGCGATCTCTTCGTAGTAATGATTTTTTAATTCAATCCAGGAATGGCAAAGTTGATATAGATTTAAACATATCATTTACAATACAGGTATTTCAGTTAAACTGCGAAATTTTTAATTAAATTTAATTAGATTTTTCAACTAAATTGCGAATTTTTTAATTAATTTTAATCAAATTTTCCAACGAAATTGCGAATTTTTTAATTAAGTTGAGAGGAATTTGCAAATAATTTTGTTTTCCTTGATATCTTCATTTTAATTTCTCTTTTTTTTTTCCAAATTACATGCAAAAAATTCGAACAAGTTCTAATAGAAACGCAACGTTTTTATATGTTTTTTTTTTTCTTTCCTTTATCGTTTCATTTCATGCGATGTTCTGTTTGTTTGCAATTTCTTGTCTATGTTATTTCTTTACATGCAATATTTATTCTTGCAATGATGTTCTGTTTGATTTATTGATGACTGATAATCGCGGCAAACGATATATTATATTTTTTTAGTATCCACATTTCTTAAAAAGGAAAGGAAATATCTTGCATATATTGCTTCAAAGACGCAAACGGTATAAAAATCGACCAATTTTGGGTTATAAGACGCTTGCTGTTGGTAAAACTTTTTTTTTTGCAGTTCATTATTCATCATTATTTGGTAATACTTTTTTGCAAGTCGTTTATTTACTTTTTTGCAGACATTTCCTTATATAATTGCAAAAGGAAGTATTTAACTGAAATTTAACGACTTTTTCAAATTCCCGTCAAAAATGTGAATTTTATATGTCGATTTTTTTTGCAAATTCGGTAAGAAGAAAAGAAAATGATGAATTTCATAGTCGTTTTATTTTGCAGGTACAATTAATTTATCGGAAGTGCTGCAAAATTGTTCTGTTCGTGAGATTGCTCTTTTTGATCCGGATGTAGAAAAAGATGAAGTACAAAATATCAATCGTGAGTTATTTTAATCTTTGTGAGAATATGATCGCCAATATAATTAGTAATAGAATTTCATATGTGGTACAAGTAAGTGAAATTCACAGTATCTGCTTGTTTGGGATAATATAATATTTGCATAGAGTAGTTTTTTGCGTATATTATTTATACCTTTGCCTAATTAGTTTATGTCTAGCGCCAGCAAGTTTCTGTTATCATTGGTTGATCAAAGATAATAGTGTTGAAAAACATTGCAGCATTAAAAAGTGATACTATAACTTTTTGTATTGCTAATATTCTCGATCTAGCTGCTAATTGCGAACGAGACGGTTAAGATAATAATCTTTATTTTTGGTTCTGTTTCGTGTTCCCAAGTATTAGAAATTTTAAGCCTGGTGAGTGAGATATTCGTTCAGCACTGGAGCCATTAATAAATAATGTGAGGTTACGAATGGTGCACTCCAGAAGCCTGATGTTCCTCAGTTTAAATAATTCACTGATTTCATTTTGTTTGATACTCCATCATTTGAAGCGGTGGGACGACTTGTAGTTGGATCTTGTCAAAGTCAAGCATTCGAAGCTCAAAATGAAGTGAGTGTACGGAGGATCAAAGAAAAAGGATTGGAAAGTGAGGATGATGATGATAGTTCATCGGATCAGGAAACAAATGATGAACAGGAGTTGCAAGATTCGGGTCGCCCAGTATTGCCAAAGCAAAGGTGGAGTATTGATGCAACAAATTTTAACTTGTTGTGCAAAGTTTCTGTTCTATGCATCTGCAATTTATTTTATGATTTGTTTTTTCATTTTTATACCTTCATAAATGTTATCTTTTCATATTTGCTTCATCAACAGTTGACATTTTAAACATTTTTCAGGTATAAGTCGCGGAAAACACAAGATCGAAAAATAGCGCGGAAGAATTTGAAACAGAAATTCTCATCTTTATTAAAAAGATTTAAAATTCCCGAAGAAGGAACTGCAGGTTCAATTATTATTATACTGTAATGTACTGTATTTTTGCAAGTATTTTTTTTTGCCAAGAATTTCGTCATAGTTTATTTATCAAGTGTGTTAAACAAATAGCTGTTAACTTATTCAGATTCCGCTTCACGAACCGGTAGTGTGGCGCCAACAGCACAAGAGCTTGAGGAGCTATTTGAAGAACTGGATAATTTATCGGATTCAGGACCAGAAATGGTTATGGATAATTTAAGTATAGTGAGCAATCCAAAGCCAGGTTTACGGCCCTACTTTGCATCACGGGAAATGCTACCATCGATCAGCGATTGCAAAGTATTAGTATATTTTGGACATTTTCCTTGATGTAATATCTTTGACAAAGCATTCCCCTGTTTCATTTTAAAGCAATAAAGCAGTAGGAAGGAAAAAGGAAATCAATTTCAGTATAATACTGAAGAAACGGAGAGCGATGAAGAAGTTAGCACCGATGTTGATAATCTGATGGTTCCATCAGCTGGCATGTAAGTGAGGCGACCATTTTAATAGTCTATGTAATTTTTGTTTTATCCATGTAATTTTTGGATAATTTAGAATGTTGACATTTATTGGTGGCTTCAGGATTTATCTTTTGTGAACCATGTCGATCACTTTATGATTCAAAACTTGTAATTTAGAATTTTCTTAACATGCATTTCTTTATATTTCCTTCCTCTTAACATATTTTGTAAAGTTCACTTAATTAAATGAAGGAGAGAGGAGAAAAATGAGTGTAGTATCTTTTACCTTTGACTTTTAGCAATTCTTTTTTCTTTTTTTTGACCGACCGGAACATTTCCAGGTAGATGAATTAGATGTTGAATGTTTCAAGCATTTGCTGTGTGAGAGTATAGTGCCCTTAATCTATGTTTTTATTGGTTATAGATTTGGTTCAGTCGAAAAGAATCATCAGAGGCTTGCAACGACATTAGAAACAGTTCCAAGTACTGCCGCAACGAGCGGTGTTCCTCGTCTTCATTTTATCACTTCCAATGTACCAGCATCAGTTTCCGCTGTTTCATTTCCTCTTTGTTCACTGAATTCCGATCCTACAGGAAATGTTGCAAAATCTCATTGGCATCCTGTACGTACAACATCTGTCACCGATTGGGTAAATTGTTAAATAGCTAAAAAATGTAGTTTTTTTTTCTTTCTCTCTATTTCCTTCTCAAACTATCATCTTATGTTTACCGAAATTTAACTAAATTATGATTACACAAATGTTTTGGGTCAGGGTTTTTGAACCTGATCGCTCGATTCCGGAGCACTTTTTTCTCACAACTTCTGAACTTTGATTTTTAAATGACGATATTTTTTAAGGTAATTCTGATATTCGGATCCATAATTTTGCTGTTCCGTTTTTATGATTACATAATAGTAAATACTTCAGTTGAGATGCTAAAAATATATGTTATTGTAGTTATCCGCTGTTATACACGATGAAGAGTCATGGAATGTTAGTGAACGTCTGTGGTTATGTGATAGTTCTGATGTCCAAATTCCATCATTTTTTGGTTCCATTTTCCGCGTATTGGATTGCTCATCGTTCAACGATTGCCGCTTATTGATCTCATCGATTGTTGCGAAAATACAAAAATTGTAAGCACTCTTTTTTGTGTGTTCTATGAAATTTATACTGGATTTTGCACTGATATATTGACAGGAAATTATTGATTCATTTTTGTATTATACTTCTATGAAAGACCCTTACATTGAGGAGTGTTGAATTTCGTGAGAAATTCCGGAAAAATTAATGATTACAAAAAAGCCGAAAATTAGGATAATTAACTTCTTGTTTTAAGCTGTAACAGCTCATCAACATCTCCACCATGTACAATTCTTGGTGTAATTGGTTCAGAAAAATTAGTTAGCTTTGTTCTTCGTGCCTATGTTGAATCGCTGCAAGATAAATCAGCTGAATGGATCAATTTTCTGAGGTGAGACATTTTGCTTTTTTAAAAGGTATATGAAGTAAATCTTTTTATTATTCGGTGAAGCAGAACTCACACCAGCTTTTCATTTCTTGATTTTTCTTTTTTAATTTCAGATTTTGTGTGGCCACACAACCCTCCAGTCCGTTAGGCAAAGTGCTTCAAGCAGGATCTGGTGGTATATGTGCACTGAGTGAACTTTTTATGAGAAATCCTGATGAATCTGTAATGGCTGAGTTGAAAGCATTTTCGGAAAGGCTGCAAAATATGCCGGAGGGAACATTTCGAAAATTACCAATTGGTGAAGCAATGTTACAGTTGCATAGTAAGGCGTATGTATTTTGGTCGTATAATTTTTTTTTCAATTTTTCATTGTTGCTAGTTATCCACCGGTCAAATTTTTCTAGACAATACTTGTTTTCCCAGTAAGTTATAATTAGCCACTAGATGAAAAGTGACTAATGGTTCATATTTAGTAATCTTATCCCAGCAATCATACTTTTCGACTTCTTTTATATTTCTGCGTATGCATTTCGTGATGTTTAATTAATCGCTCTTATGCTATGCAATTACAGCTTAGTCGATGAAAAGGAAAGTTCGCAGTTCGTTCCATTCCTATCCGAAGTTCGAGTTGGCCAACTGGAAGAAGATATGGAAAGCTGTGCAATGTCTGTACGGCTTAGCGAAGAAGCTCAGGTATTTGGAAAGTGATTTATCTTATTTTTGAATCTAAAAGTGTCAACAAAATTATGACTTAGGTTTAATATCCTATAAAATCTCATTCAAATAATGTTATTAATTAAACATTTTCTGCATGAATGAAAAAATTTGACGTTACATTATTAATAATTCATGTTATTGTTGTAGGGTGCTTTTGGTGTGCAGCAGTTATCTCCTCCATTAACTCCACATAGTATCAAAATATCTGATTCGCAAGATCTACTTATTGAATATTGGATACCAAATAATCAAAATGTAAGTTAAAGAATTATCTTTAATTTTGTCAATATCTTTTATTGTGTTCAATTATAAAGACACAACGCGCATATGCAGCAATGTAAATCCAAAGGCTTATTTAAATTAGGACAATTTTTGTGTTCTTGTCTTTAAGAACTTTGATATTACTAAGTTGCATTACTTATATTTGAAGAAAACACAATTTACAATTTGACTTGTTTATGTAGTTTCGAAATTTAATGACTTTGGTTTTTAGACTGAAAGCGGTGCAAGCAGTGGCACCTGTAGCGGTAGCACTACTGCAGTGAAGCGTGAGCCTCAGTTTTTGAAATGCTCAATTCGATCGGCATTTCGTTCATTCGCAGTATTCCGGAAACCATTTAGTAGTCTTCTTTCTTTCCAGTTCGTAAAAGAGCGAAGGCGTGATAAAATGTTGCATAAATTTGGAATGAAGAAAGTACAAGTGTGTTTCCAGCAGTCGTTTTAAACATAAGTAGAAAAAAAAAATTCATAAAAAAATTTAAGTTGATTTTGTTTATGTGTATTGTAAAATTCAAGAGGACCACAGTTTGCATTTTTACTATATTTCCTTTTTTGTTTTCTGTGACCTTTTTTTTTGCTACACTTTGATTTTATCGATGAGAACTTTCAATTTTCAGCGAAATGAATCAGATGGTCAAAGTTCAGTTCAGTGTATTAACAATGTAGCACGTCTAATCTGTAGTGGAAAACATCCGCTTACGGGTAAATTAATATTTTTAAATCATGTCATAAACTATCTCTAGAGGTGAGAAGCCCAATTGTTGCTTACATCGAGCGATTAAAGATGTAAAAATGGAATTCAAATTGTTATTCTAGTAACAAGGGATCTTTTTAGCTGTGGTACTGCTAATTAATTTCCGTAAAAAAATTAGTGGAGCAATTTTAGTTATCAACAAAGGAAATATGCAAATTAATCTATGTAGCTTCTATATTTCCGTCTAAAACATCTCTTTGTTTTTTCTTTTCCAGTTTCGATAGATGGTTGTGTCTGGTCGGAAATACGGTTTTTCCAGATCTCTGCTCAGTGGCAAACACACGTAAAGTATTTTCCAGTTTGTTTAATATCACGAGATTCATGATATCAGATTTACTGGTTGCACTTTGTTAAATCTTTCAAGAGCTTATTTATTTGTTTATGCAATTATTTTCTCTTTAAACTTTATTTTGGTGCATTTTAATTCCTGTCTTGCCCAACATATATCAATCTGTTAGATTGTATACTAATTGAAAAGCATTTGACTTCGGTTTTGCAATTTAAATTTAAAAATTATTCAAGTGCAGGAAATTTAATTTAAAATTATTAAAGCTAATTCGATTGCATTATTTTTGCACTGTTACAAAGTAAACTTGCTGCTTAAAAAACTTATTACTGTGAGTATCTCATATATTTTGCCTTGTTTATTGTACATCAAATGTTCTCCATCCTAATCAAAATGTTTCTCAACGGGAGAAAATTCTTTTGCTGAGAACTTTTATATGGAATCAGAAATTTATCATTTAAAGGTGGAAGCATAATATTTATTATAAAAATTTTTTTATTACCACAAACAATTTTGCCATAGTTTCACCATAGTTTGATTTGGTAATCGATCTAACTTGCGATTCCATAAGATTTGATTTTCAAAATTAGAATTTTGTTACATTTTCATATTTAATGATTAATTGTTATTTTTTATTTTATTTCTTTTTACACTGAATGCTTAGAAAACGTACTGTTGCAGTATTTGTAGTTTATTTATTTATTTATTTTTAAAATACTTGCTGTCACATAATATCGAATAAAATTCCATTTTTGTAATGGAAGTAACCTACAAAAACGCTAAAATATGTTAATTGTACTGTTCAATCAACAAACTGCTTTAGTAATTAAGAAAAAAAAAAAAAAAGACCATTTAAAAGTTGATTTAAGAGATTGTAGCTCAAATGTGGGCCAGGTATTTGTCACCCTTCCGTTATTTTTCTTTGTTGTATAAAGCACTACCAGGAAGCCTATGAAACTAATTGTAATGATTCATTCCTTTTGATTGATTTGCTAAATTTGCATTATCACTAACTGTGATTCTCGACTGTTATGTAAATTTCACGAAACCATTTCATCATATCTGAATATTTTTTATTTGGTTTTTTTCTCAATGCATTATCAGTTAATTTGCATATAATTAAATTATCGCAAGCGGAGTGCGTCATTTTAAAAACTATAACTAAATTGAATTTTAATTTAATTTCTACCCTATGGATACTTACAATCGGCGTGTTAATTACAAGCATAGTTGCTTGTTTTTCATGGTTTTTGTTTACTTCAAACAATTAATGCTTCTCTATCAAACAAATAAATAAGCAAACAAAATTCTTACTATTTGGCAACTTTTAATTAAATTAAAATTCTATACTTGTCTTCTACTTTTATTTTTTATTAAATTCCTACCTTCTTTATTTTATTTTAAAAGTATAATTCCAGAAATGTATTATTACATTAGCAAGCATTTTAATTGCATTTGTAAATTCAAGCAATTTTTTTAATGATGATATTTTTCGGCTTACATTTCATGAATCATTTAATAATGATGAAGTGAAGGTGAGTTGAATTATTCAATTTTAGGGTTTTAAATTTTTGCAATTTCTTTCCACAATTTTTAGTTAATTCGGATGCATTTACGGTAAAATTAAACTGAAATTAGTATTATTGATATTATTGTTAGATTTATTGCTACCATTGAGTTGTTAAATTATAAAATTTTTTTCTTCAATTTTTTTTCTTCGGATTTTTGCTATTACTAGTGCGTCGCTATAATTCAACAAATTTTTTTTACCTTTATTTTTCATTTAAAATCTATCAATTTCATTGATTAGCATATGATTAATTCTGAAATTATTACGGAATTTTCACTTTAATATAAATATCACAAAAATTTTAATTTCCGAAATAAAGCAAATTCTTTTTTTTCTGAAAAAATAAAATATTTTTTTCATGCTAAGATATTTCAAAAGAAAAAATTTTTTTTTTTCTAAATTGGACCTGTAAAAAATTATTAATTAAAGAGGAAATGAAAGAGATTTTTTCCGGATTTTTCGGTAAAGCTTTGGAGTAATTTTAGGTTAAAATATGCATTTAATATGTTGTGAAAAAGATTTTGATTAAAAGTGCGACAGAAAATTTTTTTTGTTCAAACACAGAAGTCCTGATTAAACAAAGTTCAAAACTTGCATTACCTTTTAAATAATGCCAATAATAATAACAATAATAATAATAATAATAATAATAATAATAATAATAATAATAATAATAATAATAATAATAATAATAATAATAATAATAATAATAATAATAATAATAATAATAATAATAATAACTAATAATAATAATAATAATAATAATAATAATAATAATAATAATAATAATAA